ACCATCACCCTTCCTTCTTCTAATCCTCATTTTGACATCAGGCTCTGTCTTGTGATCCCAGGAATTTTATTATCCATATGTGATCCCTCAACTACTCCAGCGCCTCAGCATCTTGACCTGCTGTCCTCTGAGGAGCTTGTTCTCCGCCCTCCCCATGTAGCTCATATTCACAAAAAGACACAGATACTATCAATGATAAATAAGTGCACCCCTCCATGAACTCGATTTCTAGCACCCCTTTGCTGACCGCTACCTGCTTACCTGCTTTCTTTACTCAATGTATTCCCCCCAACTCAGTTTCCAAATTTGAACACTTTCTCAGCCCACTAAAGTGTCCAACTGATGGACTTCAAACACCATTTGAATGTCCCTCATCTCTCTCATATCCTCACATCTTCCTTCACCCAGTTTCAAGTCCACATGCAATCATTACTAGGACTCCCTTATATTTCTAGAACTCCCTTGTCCTTTTCTTCCATCACATGTGCTTGGGTAAATTCAATTCTTTAAGTAATCCTCACCTTCACTGAAGCTACTAAAGATGAATGAAGAAAAACATTCACATTGGTTATTCTTACTTTAAATTCATGAGCACTGATCTCACATGGGCCCTTCATGCCACCCTGTAATCTTGTACCTTTCTAGCGTATTCACTCACCCACTTCTAGACTACATTTTCTACCTCCTCTCTACATCTTCTTCTTCCTTCTGATATTCAGTTGATGCCCCTACTTCTTATGTCATTGAGAAAACAGAGGCAATTAAAAGAACATCTATATGTCCCACACCCAAATCTATCAACTACCTTCGTCTATACCCATATATTCCACATTCCTCCCAGTATACACTGGATCCCACCTGTCACTGTTCCTAGATGGTACCCTCCCTCCTGCAACACTGACTTTCCACTTTACAGGATCACTGCCATCACCAAAGAAAAATACTGAATTCATTTCTATCTTTATAAAACTATTACAGTAGTCCCCCCTTATACACGGTTTCACTTTCTGTGGTTTCAGTTACCTATGGCCAACTGCAATTTGAAAATATTAAACAGAATATTACAGATATAAACAATTCATAAGTTTTAAATTGCACACCGTTCTGACTAGTGTGATGAAATCTCGCACCATCCACTTTGTCCCACACAGGACGTGAATCATCCCTTTGTCCAGCATATCCACATGGCAAACACTATCTGCACATTAGTCACTTAGTAGCCATCTCAGTTATCAGATTGGCTGCCATGGTATCACAGTGATTGTGTTCAAGTACTCTTGTTTCACTTAATAACGGCCCCAAAGCAGAAGAATAGTGATGCTGGCAATTTGAATACGTCAAAGAGAAGCTGTGAAGTACTTCCGTTAAGTGAAAAGGTAAAAGTTCTTGACTTAATAACACATTTTATCGTCACACATCATCACAAGAAGAAGGGTGAGTATAGTACAATGAAATATTTTGAGAGAGAGACCACATTCATATAACTTGTTACAGTATATTGTTATAATTGTTGTTTTTTCCATTGTCATTAAGTCTCTTACTGTGTCTATTTATAAATTAAACTTTATTATACGTATGTATGTATAGGAAAAGACATAGTATAATATATACAGGGATTGACATTATCCATGATTTCAGGTATCCAAAGGGAATCTTGGAATGTATTCCCCATGGATAAGGGGGGGCTACTAGACTCAACCCTACATTCTCCCACCAGCTCCTGTCTCATTTCTGTTTCCTTTGTTGTAAAAATCCTTGAAAGAGTTCACTATACTTCCACTCATATTCTTTCTTGAATCTACTCCAATGAGGCTTCCATCTTTACCGTGCCACTGAAGTGACTCTTGTCAAGGTCAACAACTGTCTTTAGATGGTCAATTTTCTGACCTCATCCTATCCAACTGCTCAGCAATATTCGAGCCTTGGGATTGTGCCCTCCTTCATGAAACACTTTGTTTCTTTGGTATCCTAGACTCTATTGTCTCTTGGATCTTCTACCATTGTGACTTTGCCTTCTCAGTCTCACCTTTCCAAACTCTAAAGCTAGGATGCCTCAGGGCTCAGAGCTCAGGGTGTTGGAATTCTTGACTCCCTAAATAATCTCATCCAATTCTATGACCAATATATGTGTTCATAATTTTGATCTAGTCTTGACCCTCCCCCCAACTTCAGTCCTTTATATTCAATTGTCTAATGAACATCTTAAGCTTAAAATGTCAAAAAATAAACTCTTGAATTTGCTCCCCAGACTGCTTACTAACACTTTCCTATCTTGAATGGTACTTCCATGCTTCCATTTCCTTTGTCCAAAAACCTTTGACTCCTGACACCACGACTCTTCTCTTTCTCTCATAACTCACATATCTAACGCTTCAGCAAATCCTGTTGGTTCTTTCAAAATATATTCAAAATCCAGTTATTTCTTACTGTCTCCACTGTTATACCCTTATCCAACTCACCACCATCTGCCTCCTGGATCACTGAAATGCATTCTTGAACTTCTCTATATTCTCTTCTTCATAATTTAACCAGTAATTATTATATAGGTAGATCTCAGCACTATAATTATCAGAACCTTGCATGGCTTCCCATCTCACTCAGAGTGAAAGCCAAAGCCCTTACAAAGAACTTTTAAGGACCTATGTGATCTGAGCACTTTCCCCTCCCCCCACCTTGACCTCATCTCCTATTCCTGTCTCTATTTAGCTAAGCTTCAATCATACTGGGATCCATGTATTCCTCAAATATGCCCAGAACATTACAGCCTTCATGGCCTGCGTCTTTCTGTCCCCTTTTCCCTCAGATTTCTTCCTCCCCAGAGCAGCACTCTTACTGCCTCACTTACTTCAGGTCTCTATTCAGAAATCACCTATTTATGACACTATCCTTTCTCCATATGAAACAGCACCTCTGCTGCTCTCTCCTTGACCTTGCTTTATTTTTTTCATAGAACTTATTACCATGGGACATAGTATATATTTATTGCTTAGCTTGTGTCTGTCTCTTAATACTCAGAATCAGGCAAGAACTTTGTCTTGTTCATTGTTTGATTCCCCACTGCCTAGAATAGTGTTTGGTGCATATTAGGCACTCAGTAAATACTTGCTGAATGAATGCACCAATACTATCATTAGCGTCACTCTCAATATTATCTTTATTATAATCTAAGTGACTGGGTTTAAAGGGTTGAAGAACAACTGCATACAGGGCTCTAAGATAGACCGAAACACAAGTGGCCTTGCTGTGAGGAAGGGGTTAGAAAATAGCCAGGCTTTACTGGAAACGCTGATATGTACTTTACTTGCTGAGGCCAGACTAGGATGATCATTTCATACTCAAAATTTCAGTTTTAATAAAAATTTGTAGCACACAGTTACAAGCAGATTTTATTCCTTACAGAGCACTTCTATTAGAAAACTTTGCATTACTCTGTTTGGTCACTCATATCTGAATTCACACAAAGTATATGTGAATAACTAACAGAAGGCAAAGTCAAAAAGAACATTAAGTGTAATTTTCTAAAATCAGTAATTTTAAATCTTCTATTATTAATTATTATTATTAATTTTGTATACCATACACCAAGAGTGTCTTCCTTTTCCTCATTTTAGAGCTATTGTTTCATCAGATTCTCTTTTTAAGTAGAAAAAGAAAATTTACCCAAATGGTAATTTGAATAAAGTAGTCACAAGGATTCAAAATGTCAAGATCTTATTATTTTGCATTGAAGCAACTTATTACACAGATGACACCTTCCTTTAGAAGACACATGTGTTCGTGTTTGTCATTTTTCAAATGGGAACAGAATTCTACCATCACATTAAAATGTACAGATTTAGAATGAGAACTTGCATTGCATGCGAAGAGAAAAAATATATACTGAAACAAGCTGGTATGTAACATGAAAAAAGAGTATGAAGGGATATTAAATAAATGAATAGAAAGTTAATAAGGCAAATAATTTAAATAACACAGGATCTAAGAATTAGTTAGTTGGTAACATTTCAGCATATCTGCCTATCAGGAAAAAAGTACAAATTTGCATGGAGATAGGAATTTGAACAGAATAAAAATGTAACTCAAAAAAAGGCCTAAGTTCAGAAAAAAATATAAAATGATCTTAAGTACTATGGTCTTCATTTGCTGTAAGATTTAAGTCTATTCTATGATTTTCTTACTCATACGAATCCTTGCTTTTTTCACTTTCATTTATTATAAACAAGAGAATTTAATTCTTTATGACTCTATGACTTCCGAATTTAAGATTAACTTGTGGTAAAAAAAAAAAAATTCCCCAATATATTCATATCTTAAAATCTATTGGAAAAGTTAGATAAAGCTCATGATTAACTAAAAGTAAGATTATGCTTGAGATATCTGTAATGTTTGAAAAAAATTACCGTATTTGCCGGCGTATAAGACGATTTTTTGGCCCTGAAAAATATGCCTCCAAGTGGGGGGTTGTCTTATACGCCAGGTACACTTCAGATAAACTGCCCATAGTGCTTGCCCCGTGCCATAGTGGCCTCCTGATGCCCGCCCACTTCATTCCACATACCGTTCAGGCATCAGCAGCGCTGCTGGGTGTATGCTCGGCTGTTATGCGNAGGCATCAGCAGCGCTGCTGGGTGTATGCTCGGCTGTTATGCGATTTTGCTGTTATGCGATTTTACCACACTCGCAAAATCGCACACAGCCGACCATATAACAAACTCTGTATTTTGAGTGGAAATGTTAGGGGGTCGTCTTATACGCTGAGTCATCTTATACGCCGGCAAATACGGTAGTTAAACGTGAAGAGAAAAATTAATCTGAAACAAATGGAAGCAATGGATTCAATTTATAGTAAAAGCCTAAATATTGACAATTAGAAGCAGAGGGGGAAAACCTGTAACAATTGGTTCAACTTGGATATTTATCTAGAATTTTATTTTGAGTCTTTACCTCACCAAACTTCAAAATTACTTGAAAGCGGTACCCACCATCTGTTATCAACTTACTTTACAATGATCGTGTTGGAGCTGTAAGGCTGGGACATCCCCTCCAATAGGCATTTGGTTTTTAAGCTCTTCATCTTTCATATTCAGCCATTTGATCAGTTCTTCTAAGGACGTCAGCAACCTGTTCCATTTCTCGGCACTGGCCTCCAAATGGGCCCTGTTGAGATACAATGTTGATCACATTGAGAAGTTTGAATTACATCCAAAAAAATTTATATACGTTCCTTTAGCCTAATCATCTTGTAGGGCCAACCAAGTTAACATCTAAGAAAGAGGCTGACTCTTTGCATAATAATAATAACAATAATAATAATAAATTTTATATATATATATATTTTTCCCTATAAAATACAGTTATTTTGAGTCCAAAGGATATGTTGGCAATACCTATCAAAATTTAAAATGTACACCTCCACACTACAAAGGCATAAATATGAGGCTTTCAAGAAGAAAGTCCATGATATAATGTAAAATTGTACAAACAAGTTTCAGTAGTTTATGTCTAGTAGACACGCACATTCAAAATAATTTTTTGCTCATTTCATCTATATACATAAAGAGAAGGGTAGAGAGAAGAAAGAAATTATATGTATATACAATGTTTAGAAAAATATATACCAGCTGTGGCTACTGCTAAGAACACAGTAAACACACAATTTTCATGTATTTTTGTACTAATTGAATATTTACAACAGGCCCATATTATTTTTCTTTCCAAGAAAGTCGAATTAATTTTTTTAGGAAAGGAAATTACAAATGTCTTGATTTCTCTTTTAACCAAATAAATTACTGAAAGCAGAACATCACCAACATTCACCTCGAAAAGTTGGAAAACAATAAGGCATTACTTGGACAGGACAAGGTTGACTGATGTCCAGTGAAAAATTTCCACTACAAATAAAAAACAACTGAGCAAAAATCATCGCTTGTACTTTATACTCTGATTTAAAGGTGAGGTCTTTGTTTCAGTAATAATTTCTGGTTTAGGCACAGAAAAGACCCTTCAGATTCTTAAATTATAAACTTCATAATCAGGAAACCATGTTTAGGAAATACACTTTGATGTGATGAAGTTTCCAGTAAGAGTAAAGGCCCTTGAGAATAGAAATGTAAACAAAAGCTCATTGTTCTTGTTAGAGTCTTGGAGGAAGCCCACTATCCAGTCTCAAACCCACACCACATGGGGTGTATTTGAAAAGATAGGTCTGTCAGAAACAACTGCAGAGACTCTAGGAATCAGCGTTTACTCAATCTTGCTTCATCCCAGTGGACAGACTGTGAATGTGGACTTAAGCACTAAACTGTGTAAAATGGAATTACCTTAATCTTTCGGATTGAAAGGGGTAAGTCTGATAGAGACAGACATAAGCCTTGTTATACAACAGCTTCCAAAGACTAAAGACTTATGCTGAGGAAAGATCTGGGGCAACCTCAGGTGCAGGAAACATCCGTTAATCAGGGTTCATATCTTCTCAAACAACTCTCACCCTGACATTGGCATTACAACTGCCACTTGTACAAATCTGCTGTTTTACTGAGTGATACCAGGCAAAACCGCTACTGCCCCTCACCTACCGGTATTTCCTTTTTGGGGATCTGATCTATCTGAGCCTCTGTCTCAAAGTGGATAGCTCTGCTCTAGATAATTCAAACCCACATTTCCCCACTGATCACGTTAGCTGGTATTCCCAGCGATACATATTCAACAATATCTTGTCTTCGTTTAAAAGTTCATACTATTTTGAGAAGAACAACTATAAATCTTTGATCTCTAGTTTATCTCTAACTCATAAAATAATGATGATAGTCTACCAGCCAATACTCTTTTTTCAAGAGAAAAAAAATTGCAGTTCTGTATATCTCTAAAATTCTATGATCCACCATTCAGTCACATATAAAAAGCCAACTGTCTTGTAATCTATTTCTAGTTCTATTGTCAGCTGGCTAATAGAAAACAAACTGAAATTCTTATTCATGTCTTACTCGAAAAAGCTAGGTATGAAATAAAAAGTAATTTGTAGCTACAGAAAGAAGTTTGAGGTATTTATAATTCTTTGAGAATTATAACATCAAAAAATATCATTTTCTTCTCTAGCATTTACAAGCTTTCTATTCATTCTATAGGTGCTATGATTGACCTCACTTTACAAAATTATTCTTGTTTTTGAGTTGCCTCTTTTTTATAGTTAAATCTTTTAAAATTATTTTTTCAATTACAGTTGACATACAATATTATATTAGTTTCAGGGGTACAACACAGTGATTAGACATTTATATACCTTACAAAGTGATTACCCCAGCAGGTCTAGTACCCATCTAATACCACATAAAGTTATTACAATATTATTGACTATATTCCCTGTGCTGTACTAAATTGTTCCTTAATTTCATTCATATTCTGCTGGATCGCCAGCTTTTCTGTTTTCATATTGATTAAGTTTAGACCAAATATATAATTATCTATCCCGGATAAACAATGATTTTACTTGTCATAGGGAAGAACTAAATACTTTCAATTATATTAAATGAAAACTCTGGCTGCCAGTTACAAATGATTTTGCCATAAATATATCTGACTGACCTGTTGCAATTTCCTTCTGGTACTTTTAAATATTAAAAAAAAAAAAAAGCTAGAAATCAGAGGTCCTTAAGTCCACCAAGAAGTGCTTGAGTATCTCTGTGTGCAAAACACTTACACACTTTGACCTCTTATTTTATATAAATTGATCCTGCATCGTTAATGTCTGTAGCTTACCTCTTTAATCAATAACTAAACCAGACATTCCTTTGAAACCCAGTTACATACTCATTGTATTAAACAGCATGTAAATGTCTTTTTCAATGCAATTAACTCTTTTGACTGCACAGAGATAATGAAATTGATCATCGAATCTACAGCATTCAGCACATAATGGACTATTTATAAAGATGAAGGCAATATTTTTTTAAGAGAGATACTGAAGTGACTTTGAAATAAAAAAGATAATATTGGTATATGTGCTGCTTTGCATCTCTCTTTTGCCATAGTAGAAAGCAAGCTGATCTGGCAGAATCATCGCCTGGAAAATCTGTTCTGGTTATTCTCCAATAATTACAACTATGTGGTTAGTGGATTACTACCATATGCCCAAACAAATGCACGCTTCCGTAGTAGCTTTCAGTGATCTAGTTTCAATTTAATTCTTTCATCTTTCAAGATGAAAGCCTTTTCTTGGCTAAATGGGTTGAATGCGTTGCAAGAAGAAACTTTAAATTTTTGTACGGCGTTAGCTGTACTTTCTCAATTTTACTCTAAACATTTTAAAGTTTACATTTCTCCCAAGACATTATAACCAGTCATCAATCATGTTTTCAGAATCTTAAACATTTCTGTGTTTGACACGAACCCGTGGGCACTCATATTTTGGGTAATTGACTCTCTCACTAGCTTCAGTTCATTCATTGAGTACTTGAAATGGGCAAAATAATAGATACTTTAAATGTATTATTATTAATAAATGTAATTTTAAAAATGTAATTATTATAAATGTAATAAATTTATTATTAAGCTAGGATGATGTCTACTGCCCAATACACTCTAAAAAATTACCTCATTTTAGACTGAATCATTTATTTTACAACTGTCTGAACATTTTTAAGTGACAAATTATTTATAACAATATGTAAAAACTGGTTAGAAGGTAAAGATTCACAAAAATGGTGTCCCAACATTTAAATATAGTAGAAAAGGGACTATTAAAGAAACTACATGTTAGTATTTATTTTCAATCATCAGAAGCCTCTGCCTTTCAGTGTTCCTTGAAATAAGTTTTTAGTCCTTCTCCCAGTGCACAGATATGAAAAAGAGAGGAAGCAATTGAGTGGGAAAGAAGGGGCATTTGTTAACATAAACTACAGTTTTTCATTTATTCAGTACAAAGAAACATTTATGGAACACCTGCTCTGCTATCTGGCACTGCACTGTTTCAGACAGAAAGTTCTAGGGTCAAGTAAAAAGACAAGTAAACCCAAGGTACTCTGAAACAGGAAACCTAAGAACACCTCTAGGAGGAAACTATGGCCCAGAGCAGGACAAAACTTGCTCAGTAAGCCATGGTAAGAATTTGAAATCCAAATGGAAGTCCAAGCTCTTTCCACTACATTGCTCTCATCAAGGGCAGCACTTAAGAGGGCAGATAGAAACTGCCCAGATATATGTGTAGACAAGTAAAGACACATTTGGAAAGTTGGTCTACCCAAGAAAATAATGACTCAAATTAAGAGGAGCGAAGACACCTTGTCCCCTATTGTGTAAGGACTGCACAGAATTAAATGTCCAATTTGGCATTCTTACTACAAATGAAATTTCCTTTTAGTTTATGGTAACACCCATAGATTATAAATTGCACTATAATGAAAGAAAATACCTTTGTTAGTGCAAAAATTACCAGCAACCTGAAAAGGGGATTATTCCTGCTCTCAGAATAGAAAGTAAGACCCACTAGGAGAAAAAAGTGAAGTCCTCAGGATTAAGTTTGTGCTGAAAGAACACCAAAGCTGGGCTTCCAATATGGTAGCCACCAGCAACATGTAGCGATTTCAATCTAAATTTAATTAAAATAAATAACACTTGAAATTCAGTTCATCAGTTCACTGGCTGCATTTCAAGCACTCAACTTGCCCTGTTTGGCTTGTGGCTATCGTACTGAACACAGCCGGCCGACATAGACCATTCCCATCATTGCAGAACTTTGCATCGGAAAGCGCGAAGCCAGAGGAAAAAAGAAAGAAGAGGACAGCAGAATCTTCGTCTGTTAGATTTGGGAAACGGAAATTTTAGTAGTTTTACAATCTGGTTAGCAAAATCAACTACCTGAAGTTAAAAGTGGTGTCAGTGACATTGTAAAATGTGATAACATTAGATGTAATGACGATGTTAAAAGGTTAATCTTCTCTAACGGCTTTTTAAAAGGTGCCCTGAATTTTTAAGAAGCTCATAAAAGAATGGGAAGATAGAATTTTATCGTTGAACTCTGTTTTCATTAGATTTGACAATTTCACTGGTCTTGGAAACCATATGTTAATAAGGACCTATACTCAACATCACTAAGCTGATAAGTGGATATTTAACTAACATAATCCTAAATTAAATAAATGTAATATAAAAATTTTAACTGC